TAACTGTCACACCACAAGGCAAGCGCCAATTGACTCTAGCATTCAGCATGAAAAGACAGTCAGGGCACTCATCAGCTTCTTTTGAGAGTTCAGCTTCAACCTGCAGAAGTCCAACTTCATGTGTTAGACCCAGACTGGAGGTTCCAAACAAAACAAAGCAATGAAACTTGTTGAACCCCCACCTTCTTTGCATGTTTCGAAGCGTGAGCGCGAAAAACTCCGATGCGGTCCATGTCTGCCGGAGGGGCGGATTCAGAGAGTAGCAACTGGATCTCTGCGTCTGCGTGTTTCGCACAAAACCTAACAAGCGACAAGTGGTTCACGATGGAACCTTTTGAAACCAGTCCGCAAACTAGCTGCGTTCACACCTAAACTCAATGTGACAAGTAGTCAAGGCCGGCCACGCTTCCAAGATCTTTGGAGAGACATCATTGACAAAGTCAGATGGGAACTTCTTCTTGAACTGGTTCATGCACGCTACAAACCCACAGCATATCCTTTGCAAGTTTTCCTGGGCGAGTAGGGCAGTAGTATACCGAGCTGGGTGTGGCTCAACAAAAGTGGCGTGCGTTGAGTTAATTACATAATCAAAGCCAATTGTCGAGCTCTTTGAAGTTGTAGGGTTTTCTGAACTTCGTGTGGAGAGCGCTGAAGTCATCATGCATTCGTTTGACTAGCAAGTGAAGAACTTCTGGGTTGTTGCGGCATTCTTCTTCCCATTGAGAGTACGCGCCTGTCCCTGAGGTGTAAGTCCTGTTGAACAGGCCAAGAGCCAGTGGCTCGTGGGTGATATAGCGACCCATGCTGAACTTCCTGAGAATCAAAAACATGTTCTAGGATCGTGGCACATGTTGCTGTGTCCAAACTGGTTTGATTCCGGCAAGAGTTTGCGTCTTCAACAAGTTTCTTCACGTGGAGGGCAAGTGATTCTGTTATGTCATCATCAACATGACGAAGCAGGTTCAGGGTCGCTTCACTCTCCAGCTTGCCAGTTTTCATGGCCTGGGCCACGTCTGAGGCCTTGTTCCAAGCCTGGCCACCAGGACAGAAACACCTACACTGGATGAACGAAGACATATCAGTGTGTCACGCCTCAAGGCCGCTCGATTTATCCTTCATCATCTTCGCTAACAACCTTTCTTGATGTAAAAGGTTAAAGCAGTTTGCTTTGCGGCGCACCGTGGTAGCCTGAGTTATACCTGCCAAAAAAAGAAGTTCGCAGGTCCCGCAAGCATCGAATCCACAGCACACAATCATACAGTATAACGCAAGGTGCGCAACATGTCAAGGCCTCGATTCTTGAGAACCAGCATTGCCGGCTCCGAAACAGTTGCCACTGCAGCGTGCATGGTACAGAATGTCCTGAATCAACAAGTTAAAAAAATCATCAGTACAACCCGACCCTAAAAAAATAACAGGGCATCAGTTCCATGATCTGGAATGGGATTGTAACGAGGCACTCCCTCAAATGTTTGGGCCACTCATTGAAGAATTCTTCACATTCGTACCCGCAAAGCATGATGGTGTGAGCGCATACAGCTCTGCTCCACCCTTTGATCATGAACGCTGACAACGGCGGCAGTAGCCCGGTCGACTCTGGTGACAGCTCATCTACCTTGATGGCGAAGGGTGGTCGGATTCCAAGATCCTCTGGCATTGAGCTCACACACAGCTTTTCGGCGCCGCCCACATTGGCATCTGTGATGCACCTCAACAAATCAACACATTCCCCAACTCTCTGATTAGATTCTCTTGAAGCTGAAATTTGAAAGCAGCCACGACACCCGTGACAGACCATGAGCTGACACAGTTGAAAATGCAGGTCCTCAGAAAATCAAAACAGCTTGAAAGAACATTGCGAAGGCACCCGGTGTGTCTCACTGACACGAATCACACAAGTTTGAATTGGAGGTCTAGCTTCGGGTTCTATGAGGCCCCGTAGACCGGATTCAGGAGTGAATGGTAGCTGCCAAGGGCGCAAGTAGACCCCTCCATCTGCATCAAAGCTCTTGGGGCCTGCATACGCCCTGCCAGCAATTAACATCATCCCTGATGGCAACATTTCAAAAAAAATGACTGTGGTGTTACATCCGACAAAGTTGAATATTGCTTGGAGGCACACTCCATGCTCAGCTGGAAATTGGTGCTCAACCCATTTGAGGTACTTGACCAGATCCTCCTGCAGCGTGCACCGCGGCGCAAAAGATTATATACAATACAGTAGCCATGCACTAGTTACCAGTTCCTCTTTCTCGAACGCCTTTTGGAAGACTTGGTCAATAGTCTGACACTTCTCCAATCGGGTCGACCTCGCAGCCATCATCAAGGCTGAAAACCAGCGTGAGGCGGCAAACGGTCAATTTCAACGCAGCTCAACAGTTCAATTAGGCTAGACACAGCCAGGTCTTGAAAAGGGCGGCGTGAGAAGCGCTGTCAGCAATGGGCTCCGAAGCAGTGGCCCGTGCCGCCTTGGCTTTGGCGTCACCACCACCTCCAGATTTGCGCTTGGCCGGCATGATGTTGGCAAAACTAAATGCCCTTGATCCGCTGATCAAGCAGTTTTGAAATCAAAAGACATCACACTGACCAGTTCTCCAAGAAGCTGACACTAGTCACTAGCTCTAATGTGCGTTCAATGTATTTTCTGACCCGTGCGACAAGTGGGTTGCAAAGAGCTTGGCGCCGTGCCCCAACCCTTTCTCATTGACCTGGCATCGTTGCAAACAGAAGATATCCAACAGGAGTTGAAACAAACACAATCTGTGGAACTTAGCTTGGAACAGCTTCAAGAAAAAGGAACAATAACATAATGATGCACTTGATTTGTGCCGAATGCCAAACGTGTCCTACCTATTTGTGCCGAACAGCACGTGTGTCAGACACGTTCGTGCCGAATCCCACTTGTTGCTCATTCCTTTGCGCCGAATGGCCATGGTCAAATCATGGTTTGTGAAGAATTGGAACTGGGGTTATTCACAAACACCTTGGCCAGCGCAGCCATTCGGCACGAAAGTAACAAGCAACCACCCTGATTCGGCACAAACCTTCCAGAACCCATGATTGAATCGGCACAAATGTAAGCTCGCTCCATTCCGTGCAAACATCATTTGTGCATAGATGGAGCTGGTTTTCTGCACAAACTGATTTTTTGCATGTACTCTGTGATTTGAATCGTTTTTCTTTCAACCTTCAAACAGACCCCCCTAAAACGTAATGCCGCACCCAAATTTTTCAGCGTTTTGCTGACATCACAAATGACCTTGCGTTTGCAAGACCTCCATTGGTGTAGAAACTGAGCTGGCTCCCTTCACTAAACCCTGGGAAGACTAAGCAAAAGTAACTTTTTTGGGGTTGAAGATTTCATAGTTATTTCAACTCTCCTCAACTACCAGCCTTTCGTGTTGGAAGCCAGCTGACTTTAGTCACAAACACGGCACTCCCACGGACCAGGCAAAGTCTGAAGAATGTGTACTACATGATCCTTGTTACATAAAATATTCATGAATCAATGAACATTGGACAATATAAAGCAAGACCGGCTCCTAGAATATCAAACAGAGATTGAACCATTCATCCCTCATGGGTGGCCTGGTCAAACACTTCAGTTACTATCTCAAGACTTTTGTCAAATGGCATTCCTGCCGCCCAAAGCTTAGCAGCGGCTCGGTAGATGTAGTGTTGCTTCCTCTTGACCCGGTACGTCTCCAAGTGGTCAGGCTTCTGGCGAATCAGCAACAACTGATTTGGCTCCTTGGCAAATCAAATCTGGTTAAACCCAGCAAACACCTGGCGCAAAATCCCACCCGAAAGAAACATAGTCTTCAAAAGTTGCGCCCAAAAGAGCCAAAGAACGGGGTCAAGATTCTGGCCACGGCGGGGCGCTGGCACCCCAGGCCCGACCCTTGGGCCAGGAGCCATAATGAACCTGGTCACTCAGTCACTAGCAACATTGAATATTCCTAGGGCGACACTCGCGCGACAGCGCCTGTCAATTGGCAGCGGTGGGGTCTCCTCAACAGTGTCCTCTGCCAGATGGATCAAAGCTTCAGCAGCTCTGACGAGATCAAAGGGTGGCTCACCTCACTTGCCACATCGCGAGGTCTGTGTTTACACAATAAAAGTAAACAGGCTTGGCGCTCAGTGGCCACTTCTTCAAACACTTTTGAAAATAAAGCGGTAAATGTGTCGGTATGCAATTCTAGTCCTGGTACTATCCAAAAAGTGTTGTGGGCCGGCTTGTGATTGACAAGCGGCGGATCAATGCTGCGTACTTTGCCCAGTTCTCTGCAGCTTTTGGATCCAGGGGACGTTTGTCGGCCAGAACTGCAGGGTTCAAATACAACACTATTTAGGAAAGAAAACGGTGGTACTGAGTGTTGCCTCAATGGCACCTCATGCTACCTCCGCACCTTCAGGGGCGACACGAGCCATCATTTTCTGAACCAATTCATACGGGAGATACAGCAAAGGTGGGCCGAACTCACGGTCGCTCATAAATTGCTTTGTCCTGGACGGGCGCAGTGATACGGGGCAAACAAACATCGTGGAAACATTTAACTTCTTGCCAAGCTCTCACATGCTCCCTTGATAAACGTTATCCCTTTTGGTCACAAGTTCCTGAGAAGCACATCGTTGCCGTGACCAACCGAGACACCCTTACGCGTCCAAAAGCGCACACTGCTCCTAGTTGGCTCCAAACCTGCCAAAGGGGACTTGAACATCAAACGCAACCAACCAACAAAAACCATTAAACACCCACCAACACAAAACAACCATTAACAAGATGTCTTACCTTAAACTTGCGGATTGAAATGGGTCTGAATCTGCCTGGCAAGTCCTTCCTCTTGTCTAGAGCGAAGACATGAGGTGCTCCGGCACCGCCAATACCCTTCAAGTGTACTCCGCAGGTGGTCACATTGAGATAGGTTTTCCTCAAGGTGAGAGAAAACCACAGCGAGGACAGAATGAGGGGCCTCTGACCAATTAGCTGGTGGAAAAACTTAAAGCTGAGGGGAAATGAGCAAGAGCATCAACCCAAGTCTCCAATCTCGGACGGAAGTGAGTAGCTCTACTCGTCTGATTGGCTCATGCTCTCGGACTTGCGGGTTTGAAAGCAACCTCTCGAGAGAGATCTTGAAATCAGAAGGCTGCTCCAACAGTTTCTCATCCTGGATCCAAGAGCTGCACACACTGAACCACTGATCTATGTCTTCATGAGAGTGTCCAGTCATCAAATTGCTAAAAACGGCCCGTTTGAGGAGAGATCCTCCGACCCAGCTTGATAACAGCCTGAGGGTCGTGTTATTCTTCGTCTCTCGTGTCGTGTTGTCTGATTGCAGGTGCAGCTCGGTGCACCGGCAATCAAACGAGGAGCCATCACTCTGTTCACGCTGACATATTTGGTGCATCACGTTTGACAGCATGTCTGCGGTAGCGTTCGAGTCCTTGTGAACTGTAGGCCATGTCAAATAGCAAAAGATGCCATAGCCGTGGGCCAGACATGCCTGTAGATCCAAATTTGGCCTTATAAAGCTTGAAACTTCTTTTGATGACATGACAAGCTCTGCGCGAGGGAATCGCAGCTTAGAATGGTCTAAGCCGTCGATGATCAGAGAGATGATGGTGTTGCCTGTCGAGATGGGCTGCCGGAGGCGGGATTGAGTACGGACTGTCCAATATTCGACGCGATCAGCGTATTGTCGCTTTAAATGGCGACTGTACTCATGCATTTGAGCAGTTCTGCTGTGAGTGTCATTGGCCAAGCGCTTGATCAGTGCCTTGTGTCGCACGCACAACCCGCATTGTTGGTGCTGCGACCGTGGACGAATGGCCAACTTGTGCAAGAAGGAACTAGTCCAAACCTGGAAGCAAACTTCTGCCACCCAACAAGTCACAAAGTCCTGACAACAACACGCAAAACTCAAAACAACAACCACTCAGCTCAGCGTCAAGGAACACTGGAAAAGAGCTTCAACGACAGCTTCCTAGAAGGATAGCGACTTCTCAACAACTCAAGGTACTCGGTGAAGGTACCTGGGGGCAAGAGCCGCAACAGCTGCTTCTCCTCCTTCTTCAGCTTGCTTTGACGACTCGCGATCCGGGGCTTCTTGCCGCGGCGACGGCGAAACCGCATAATCTGTTTCGAACCCGTCTCTTGGGCCTCTGGCATAGGTTCGCTGATGGTGTCGTACAACTCTTGCAAATACTCGTGGATGATAACACGGTTGTCGCTTGGGGCCTTTGCGTGGGAGCCTGTGACAAAGCGCAGGTCCACTGGAGGCCCTGTCTGGGCGCGAATAGCTCTCAAGACCTTGTCGAAGCGCCCTCGCCCAATCCCCAGTAACCTCCGAAAGGCATGACCACAAACGATCTGCCCCAGGAGACTAAAGCGCCCGGGGCGGGTTGACGAAGACAGCATATCGTAAACCTGCCCAATTTGGTCAACATGAAATTAGTTAACGAGTCCCGATTGGCCGCTTATTATCACCCTGAAACCATAAACACTGGTTCATGATATTTGTTAGTTGCCAAGCAAACATTCAACAACGCGCTGAAACCATGAACTACTGCAGCAAAAGGCCTTGCGGTCAGCATCGGTCTTGTGCAAAGAGCGAAACTCTTTCCGAAGTTGCAAGACTGCGTCCAAACCATGCCAACCACGGTGAAATTGCCAAAAACAACTCTCACGATCCTTCCTGCGGAGTTGTGAGCACTGACAGCGGCTTTGAAGTATCTTGGCAACAGTCGAGCGGTGTTGCGGGGCTAGGATCATTTCCCTTGCCCGCTTCAAATGTCTGTCACGGCCAGCGCTGCCCACAGCCTGAGCCCGATCATCATCACTCAATTCAGTGACAGGTGCAGCCAGGCAGGCATCATCGTCTGATCTTGGCACAATCTGGGCTCCAACATCAGACCCCGGGACTTCCACAGCACTGCCATCTGCAAAGCCCTCATCATCCGACAAAAACTCTACAGCCGAAAGCGCAGGCATCGATCATCGCCCAGCAGCAGTAGGCAGGGATAATACTAATAGATAATATAATATATACCTTTATTACATACCTTTGTATATATACAAAACATGAACCACCAAGTGTGACAGTATAGTACCAACTGCTAAGTGTGACAAAAGTCATTGATAAAATTCAATGTTTTGTTGGTTGTCCAGCTTGACCCGACAAAGCAAAAAACAGCTTTGGATGTCGCGCGATTATATTCACCTTGAACTCCGACAAGCGCAATATGCTGAGAGACTGAAGGAAATGTTCAGGGATCAAAGCTAAGTAAGTCTGTCCAACATCTCGAGTGGGCCTGAAGCATACCTTGAAGGGTCTTGAAAGGCTCGCGGCTGTAACAAAACTTTTTGCATACTTTACTGGGTGAGCTCTGCGCGGAGGAAAGGCACTTAAAGCCAAATGAACAAAATTATCGCAATGTCCAGGCAGCTATGAACCACCGTGGGTTAATTACTACGGTTGCAACTCAAATCACACGTCACGGCGCTAAGTCCTGGCTACTCTTCAGCCGCCGAAGCATTTTGGGGTGGCTCTCCACACCTGGCCAAAGGAAGAAAGGCACGGCGGCGGACATTGACACGCAAGGTTCAATATTATTTCTCGTCTAATTCAAGCTACCACGCCTCCACCCGTGAAAGCTCTTTTCCTTGTTGATGTGACTCCTGGTAATTCCTGAACATCAGCCAGCCAAACGTTAGTTTAGTGAACTTGGGAAACAAGCTGAGGATGGGGCACACACAGGACGATTGCGTCCGGTTTCTGGTGGAGGGGCCGTGGCCAAGTCCTGTCCACTGTCCGAATTGAAGAGGGAAACGGAAGGGGTCTTGCAGAAGCCATGTCCGAAGAAAGAACCTGAAACATCAATTCCCGCCATGCCTGAGTAGGGGAATGGTCAGAGCAGATTTCCCAGTCGCCGCCAGCATCATACTCTGGATCAGCTCGGTCTCGACCATCCTTCAGTCGCTGACCCCCAAGTGAATTTACGGTAGAAGGTCTAGTCTTCCATCTCATACCGCAAATTGTTAATTAGTGTGGAGGCGGTGCTATTTGCCTTAGTTTCTAGCACACAAACCTTGGGCCCTGACCACAGAAGAGGTCACGTCATGTTTGGAGATGTCGCCTGTCTGCTCAATGGGTTCCTGCGGCTGATGGCTGATTTCCTATTTTACCGCCGTTAGTTGTTTGAGCCTGACTTCACACTGAACACAGCGTTAGTCCTGAGATTCGACAATGGAATCATCTTCCCAAGCGAAGCCACTGTGACCAGTATCTACGTAAGTGCTGTTTGTGTACACTTGTGACATCCAGCCGGCCACTGGGGTTAAGGGAATTCGAGAACCCATGCGGCGAGCGGAAGAGCCAGACGGCAGGCTGAGCTTGATCCAAATCCTATAAGCGGGCGACACACAAGGGATGACTGACAATTTGAACGCAAACTGGAGCCCCAGTAGAAAACAGGCCAGGAGCACGGTGCTTGCCACCAGCCACAAGTTGAGACGCCGCCCAACGCCAAAGTAAGTCAAATTTCAATGGCTTCTAATTGGGTCTAATTAAACTGCCAATCGCAAAAAGCGATTGTCCACAAAACCTTCTCAGACAAGGCCGGGTAAACA